AAGATAAGAATATTTTTCAGCTCCAAAGAATCTGAATAAATGAATAATTAATCACTACAAGAAATATGATCAAACCTTATCTAGAGCGTATTCAGATACCGGTAAATATTTTGAAGATCAGTAAAGCATAACAATTCACGACACAGAAGTACTTCAAGCAGTGAATTCAATCAAGCAACATTAGAATGATATGAGGTTAAATGTCAGTAAAAAAGAAATAATGGAGAATATTTGTAGCTCAGTTGGATGGTCTTGGCTGTATTGTGTTCTCTGAGCTTGGTGGTTTAATCGTGAAGCTTTCATCGTCTTTCTCCTGGACCACATCATCAGCATTTCACTATGAAGTGAGCTGTCAATATCTCTCCGTCAGTGATTTAGTGACTTGCTCTGACGATGTGGTTTGTGATTGGTTGTTTCCTTTGATTGTTGTGTCATCGATTGTATAAACTTCCCTGTTGGCTGTTCCTTTGCTTCACCTCTGACCTTTCTGTCAATTATCATTTTTCTTATTGGTTGATAGATCGGGTCTATGTCTATACATCTGTTGATTGTTGACTGACTGATTGACCTGAATACCAAGCTTCTAGGAATTCCCTGATGATATTCTTTGTGTTTACTCTCTCCCTCCAAGATTTCTACATTGTCAAAATCCAATCCATGTCCATAGTTGTTATCCGCGTACACTGATATGAGTGATGAAATATCGTGACGTTTAATAGCCAATTAGTGTTCATGAAAACGAAGGTGAAGGTGGGGCGACCACCTTGTTCAACATAGTGTTGACTACAGTTATTGTAGTTGATTTTGTAAATGATATTTGGTTTGTCTTCTTTGATTGTTGCATCCCTTGGGTCTGCATAATAGTGTTTGGAGGGAATTTGTTGATTTATGACCCACACCAATTCCAAGTGGTCTCAGCAATCTTTACGTGATTTCTGATATATTCTTTATGTATGGCAGGACGATGCGTTTGTTGATTTCTGTGGATGACTTTGTAGCTGATGGTGTACAGAATAGGCATCGTCTGATGAAGTTTCGTGGGTAGCCATTCTTCTTTAGGATAGGCATCAAGTAGTTCTCTTCATTTCTCCATGAAGTTGTTGTACTGCAGTGTGTTCTCGATCTTTTGAAGAGAGTCTGTATGCAACTGATTTTGTGTGTTGTTGGGTTGTTGCTACTGTAGTTGACGATTTGGTCAGTGTGTGTTGGCTTCCTGTATACTTGAGTTTCCAGCTTTCTGGAATTTGTCCTACTGACTAAAACACCCAGGAATGGTAGTTGTTTGTTTGACTCTTTCTCCATTGTGAATTTGATATCATTGAAAACGTTGTTGATCAAACTGTGGGTGTTTTCTATATCATCCTTTTTAATGATGACAAAAGTGTCGTCCACATAGCGAATCCAAATTTTTGGTTTGATCACAGGCAGAATAATGGTTTCTAGTCTCTGCATCACTGCTTCTTCAATTAATTTGAATATCGGTGATCTCATTGGAGTTCCTTTCATCTGTTTGTATACCTTATCGTTGCGTTATCATATGGAAATATTGTTAACAAAATGATAAGTGGATGAAATAAAACCACCGGTATGTTATAACGCTATATATATCTTTGTTGTAGAGTTTATTGACTTATTAAGTCAGGTTGTGCGCAGCTGAAGAAAATCCTTCGAAATAAATGACGTCATCGTATCTTGCAAAAGTGATGAGGAAAAAGCTCCTACTGGTAGACCAGTAAATCTACGACAAGAAATTAGACATATCAAGAATACCTTGCATTTCAACAAGTTACCAGCCAAATTCATTAAAACAATGACTACTACTATTAACAGTTGTGACAGGGTTGAAAGAGAATTACTATACAAACAAGGCATCTCAGAAGCATTACAAAGAATTCCAAAATAATCTTGTTTACCAAAATCACTTGCATTGACTGAGAGGTCAAATATATAGGTCAAGGTAGTCGACGAGGGTCGACTAGAATAATAAAGCACAAAAATTTAAGCTAAATCAAGATTAGTAGATCCTAATAAGAGCGTAGAATGGTAGTCAACTCTCTACCTCAACTTTATCGACTTTGAAAACGCCTTTGATAGCGTCGCTCGAGAAGAAATTTAAAAATTACTTCAACAGTACGAAGTACCACAAATCTTTGTCAAACATCATTCAACAGCTATATGAAGAAACCACATGCCAATTGATTCACAATGGAAAGCACAGTGATACCTTTGAATTGAAGACAGGGTTAAGACAAGGCTGCCACCGACTATCACCGATGATCTTCCTGATTGTGGTTGACTAGAACATGCAGCAAACTATGAGGAGCGAGAAGATTGGCATACGCTGACTAGACCGATGAAAATATCACGGAAGAAGACCTGGATTTCGCCGATGATGATGATTTATGTCTAATGTCTTGGGGCACAAACTTGAAGATCTGCAGGCAAAAACCAACAAGTTGAGACAAGAGGGGGGCGGGGACGAGACTTTAAGTGAACGCAGAGAGGAGAGAGGTGACGAAAATACCCAACCAAGAACAACAACAACCACCAATCACCATCAACAGGAGAAACCTAAAGGAAGTAGTCTCTTTCACCTACCTACCTGCCTAGGCAGCATCGTTTCAACTACAGATTGTGTCACAAATGAGGATATTAAAGCCAGGATTGGAAAAACAAGAAAGTCCTTCATTAACTTGATATCAGTGTGGAGGTCGACTTCACTCATCACAAAGAACAAGATCAGGATTTTCAACACTAATTTCAGTCAAGCAAATCAGTGCTTCTAGGTGACGGTTGAGAGACTTGGAGCTTCACGAAAAGCACTTCCAACCAACAAATATGCAGGAGAAGAAACTGGAGATGGGTTGGATTGGATATACAGTGAGAAGACGGTTTCCCGACATCACGTGCCAGGCCAGGCACTCGAGTGGAACCCAGATGGGAAACGACGAGTGGGGCGTCTGAGGCAAGGGTGACATGGAGGAGATCATGTGAGGAAGAAATGACAGCTTATGGGCAGTCGTTGAGCGAGGTTGAAAAGACCGCAGAGAAGTGGAGAGTGGAATAGAGACGTGCTACTGCAGTGGTATGTTCCATTTGGAGCTCAGGGGACAAACAATAATAAGGTGAGAAATTTAGAGGGAAGAAAGCTCGGACATAGCTGCTCACGCAATTACACACAACCACACATTCAGGTGGGATAGAATGACAGCGTTGAAACAAGAATAAATTGGTTGAGTAGAAGCAGAGAGACATTGATAACGGAATCTTTGTTTATCGAATCAACACCAATTACATGCAGTAATAGAAACATTTCGGCATCTTTCTCAGATCTACGGAAGATTCTACTACCCTTATCATCATAAAGTAGGAGGGGAGTTACCTTCCTGATATGAATATGGACAATAATTTATGTACAAAATGTTCTCTAAAAAATGATACTATTCCTTCAATGTATGTGACATTTCTGTTTTCTGTATAGCCGGATGTTCTGTAGATCCACAAGAAACAAAGAAGAAAAATTGAAACAAAATTATTTTAAAAGAAAACTTGTATGAAAGCGTGTCTGAAATCTTTCAATACATATTAAAGTGGATTAACAGGGATTAACTGAATATTAGTCAAGTCATGTATTAAAAAAGGATATTAACCATAGAAAAATTATTCAAAGATTGATTTCTATAATTGAATATTTCAATTCCATATTGCTTTTTCAATGATATTTTATTAAAATTATATTTCCTTTTAAAAATTATCTCTACTATCAGTTTTACAGGATACATAGAATAGAATGATGACTTTACATTATTATCATTGTTTGTCTCTTGAGTTCCTAATGGAACATAGGGCTTCAGGAGCACATCCCCTGTGCACTCTGTTCCCTGCACACTTTTGAACTTGCCTCCAAGACTGCCCATAACCTTTCATTTCTTCCTCACATGATCTCCTCCCTGTCACCCTCACCAAGGACACCCAACTCACCGTTTTCCATGTGGGTTCCACTCGAGTACCTGGCCTGGCACGTGATGTCCCCAGTTGGCCTTCCCAGTGTATGCCTAACCTACCTCCATTTCCTTCCAGTGTATATTTGTTGAGTGATAGGTTCTTGATTGGTTCGTCGACAGCCCAGAGTTCCTTGTTGCTTATTCTTTTCGGCCATCCATCTGATCTTCAGTAACGAGCCTAGTCAGCTGTTGATGAATATCTGTAGTTTGTTGGAAATGCGTTTCGTAACGCACCAAGTCTCTCAACAACATAGAAACACTGACTTACCTTGATTGGTGTTAAAAATCGTGATGTTGTTCATGCTTTATGCTGAGTGTGGAAGATCTCCACAATGGTATCAGGTTAATGAACGCCTGTTTTGCTGTCTTTCCAACCCAACTGGCTGGCTGGTTTTGACGTTCTCATCTGTGCCAGTGCCGACTGTAGTTGAAATGATGCTGCCTTGTCTAGGTGGATAGGTGAAATAGACTACTTCCTTTAAGTTTCTCCCACTGATGGTGATAGCAGCTTGTTGTTGTCGTTGGTGGTGGTGGTGTTGGTTGGGTATCTTCATCACCTCTGTCTTCTGTACATTCACTTGAAGTCCCGTCTCCATTCGCTGCCCTGCCTCTTTTGTCCACTGGTTAGTTTTCGCCTGTAGATCTTTGAGGTTGTGTGACATTCTACACAAGTCATCACTAGTGAAATCCAAATCTTCTAAGATCTTTTCTGTGGTCCAGTGTATGCACGTTTTCTCGCTCCATAGGGTATGTCATCTTATAGAAGGATTAATGTTCTAATGAACATTCTCTCTTTATGAAACGCATAATGCTTTATTAAAATATCAGGTCATACTTCTATCTTGAAAAGGTTCAATAAATTTATCAATAAACGGTTGAAAGGAGTACTAAATGAGTAAATTAATTGCCATGAATTTCTAATCAGAATAAAATTATAGTATACAATGTATTATATGATGTAATTACTATTGTTTACTTGTATTTTCTTTCCTTTAGTTTTTAAATATAGCTAGTAAATTTATGGGTATATTCAATTTAGTCTTATTAATGTTATTACTTGGACATTGGAATGCTTGTTTACAATATCTTATTCCAATGTTAATGGAATTTCCACCAGACTCTTGGGTAAAACGCTGTAAATTAGAAGTAAGTAATATTTATTGAATGTGTAATAAATAATTATACTGTTTTATGAATTTACATAGTGTAATTAGAGATGAAGTCTATGTGTCTATGTAATGTATTTGTGTAATACATTTTAAACTGTATAATCATTAATGTATTTTTCAGATGAATGGGGATTTTTAATTCAGAAGTAGTATTCATCATGGACTGACTGACATCAGTTTGGGAACCATTGGAAATCTGAGAGCACTCGACAGCCGGCTGTTTCGTCCAACTAGTATGGGACTCCTCAGCAGTACGCATTCACGACCCAGCCACGGGTCGAACTCAAGACCTTCAGGTTTCACGGTGAACGCGTTAACCACCCAGCCACTAGGTCGGCTTCCAGTGGTTCACAATTTTCAACTGTAATGAGAAGTCGTGACCAATGGGGTCAACCAGTGGGATGTGAAGTGAAGGTCCTGAGTTCGACCCGTGGCCGGGTCGTGAGTGCGTACTGCTGAGGAGTCCCAAACTAGTTAGATGAAACAGCCGGCTGTCGAGTGCTCCCAGATTTTCAATGGTTCCCCAACTGATGTCAGTCAGTCCATGATGAATACTACTTCTAAATATAATCATTAATAATTATGTCTCAAGTCAGTTTATATTAAATAGAAGAATGGGAGAATAAACAGTTCGGATACAGAACGTTCATTTAGTATATGTCAACCTATCTCATCTCTGGTGCCGACTGGCTAGATATCTGACTGCTTATCAGAAGAATAGTATACTACACTGCAATTCCTTCTGTCCAATTAGAAACTATTCTAAATCAACACTGACTAACTTTTATGACGAAGCACAGATTAGGTGAAATACACTTGTATATCAATACGGCGATTGGCATGGCCCTGAAAACAGTTAGAAACCAGCTTAATAATGACCATGAGCTTGGTCTACGAACGAAGATGACAGTAGATGATATCATGCTAGGAGTACAGCTATGTCTAACCTCTACAATGTCTACGTTTCACAAAAAAAATATATTGTAGCTGATATATTCAATGATAGTTGGCAACGAATAGCTGTAGAAAAATTCATTCCAGCTCCAAAAATGTGGTTTCGATATATAGACGACACATTTATAATATTGAAATTGGAGTACACACATAGTTTCTTCACATATATAAATTTAGTAGTCAATGCAATCCAATCCACCTATGAATTAGCAAGTAGTGAAAGGGGAATTAGCAAGTTGGATTGCAGAATAAAACGGAAACAAGAAGGGAGTTTAGAGGTACCAGTGTCTACAGAAAACCTTCCCCTTGAAATCGTTACTTAGACGACTCAAAATCGTGTCACCCTGTATCAGTTAACTTTGGCTTGATAAAGTGTCTAAGTAACACAGCGAAAAAACAGAAGATTTAAGACAAGAAACTAGATCCTTTAAGGACTTTTTAATCTTCAACAATTACCCTTCCAAATTAATTGATAAGCTTCTTAGGAATTGTAAGAAAAATATCAGTAACAGAGTTACTAACAATAGTGATAACAGTGGTAATAATAGCAATGATAATACCAATAATAGTGGTGATAACAACGTTGATAATAGTAGTGGAAATACTGTAAAAAGAGCATTATAAACCTCTACAGTATTACTATCCCAGATTCCATAACGCTGGGATTAGAGTGGCATTTAAGCCTACAAACTCACTTCGAAATCAGCTTTGTAGATAAAAATATCCTATTGATCCAATTCAACAGAATAAGCTTAGTTAACCAAATCTCTTGCAACGATTGCGGGGTCAAATACATAGGTGATAGTAGTCGACTAGGGTCAGTCAATTAGTCTATCCGAACACAAAAACCTATCTAGATCAAAATTGGTGGATCCTAGTAACGCAAGGAATTTAGAAAACAGCTCAGCCATAGCTATGCATGCTATTACACTCAACGACATAATATAATAGATGGGAAAGGGTGAAAATCCTTAAAACCAACATAAAGTGGTGGAGGGAGGGATTGATAACTGAATGTTTGTTGATGGAATCAACAGGTAATACATGGAGCAACAGGAATGATTCAGCACCTGTTCTGAATGTATAGAAAATCTTACTATCCATGTCACAATGGGGCGAGGAAATTAGGACTATGTAAAGGATATCTCAAAGTTGTGTAGTTATCTTGATATGACCGCGGACTATAAATTGTATTCTTTATGTAATCCAGTATACAATGCTATTCCCTCATCGTGTAATACAAACGTTTTACGCTTATTTCCTATCCTGTTATATGACTGGAAGACATGGCCGTTAAAAGTGGAAGAGATGAAGCAGCTACGATATTTTTACCACTTGTGTGGGATCACTATGTTAGCAGTGTTGAGGTCAAGCGAAGGGTACTGAGTAAGATAAGTAAAGTGATATACTGAGATAGCTTGGACATTTACTGCGCATGTTTAGTCACCAACTGTCTCTACTTGTCACACTAGTGGAAGCTGAACTAAGTTGGAAGCATTTTCAGGATGGTCAGATTAGGAAATGATACACGTTGATGAAGTCTCTTACTGTTGTTGTGAGCCAAGTAGAGAGACGTAGACTGCCTGACTAAGCCTGGCTGAAAATTGGTCTCAGTGGGACAGATGAATATTTACAATTAACTTACTCATTCCCTAAGATAATTTTTTTCTATTTTGATATCGCTGTTATTCTGTCCACCTGTTTTTAATATACTAATGTGAAGTGTGGCAATTTGAATCGATGACCTTGTGTGCCAGGTTCTGCGTTGATCCTCACTGTCTGGGAGGTCAAATAAAGAAAGTAAGATAACATTGAAAATAAACTATAGGATGATGAGAACGAAAATTAAGAGTGACGTAGTTTTTCCTAAGCTTATTAAGAAGACAAAGTTAACCAAGTTAGGTAAAGTGTAAGAATAGCTTTAAAACAAATTAATAATGAAACGTTGACATCTGTTGCTTAAAATATTATGGAAGATGAATTTAGACAGCCTTCAAAGTTTTAACTTGAAAACAGTTATGGATAGATACTGAGATTTCCAGAAGCGATCGCTGCACACACATTGAAACCACTGTTTATAATGGTGGCTATTCGGGATATTTAATTTATTCTGCTGACTTATAAAGGAATTCAAAACACATATTCCTTCCTATCTGTCACTCCTCAGTTAGATGTACCTACAGTGAATGATGTTATATCAACTGTAACTCTAACCCAGTAAACATTGCTTCAAGTAGAAAAGCGTTATCCATTGCTTGCCCAACAGTTGTTTTTCTTCTTGTTGTCTGATGAGGCAGTAACATCACTCACTGGGGTGTAGGTATATTCAGCTGACGAGTTCCAAATAGAACGAAAAGCGCATTTTAGATTCCACTGCAAGTTACGACAATCAATGTATCATACATTGTTCAGAAAAACTTTGTCTTACAAAATATACTATCTAAATTAATGTAATTAAAATACGTCAAATTGGTGTTCTTCTTTTCTGAGGAAATGGGAAATTTAGAGTTACTGTTTTCCCAGTTGAGTAAAAGTAACTATTAAAAAAGTAGCAAGTTTAATTTATTCTATGGCAAAATGTTTACTCATGAATAAGAACATGACATGTATCGGCGACAGCATACCGTGAGGGGTGAGAAGAGGGGCATAAGTTGGACCGATAAAAAGAGCCTAGGAGATTTGGATTTCGCCAACGACGATGACTTATGTCTTATGTCGCACAGACTCGAAGACATACAGGCAAAAACTAACAAGTTGACAGAAGAGGCAATGAATGGAGACAGCACTTCAAGTGGATGTAGAGAAGACCGAGGTGATGCAGATACCCAACCAACAACAACAGCATGAACAACAAGCACCAATCACCATTAACGGGCAAAGCCTAAAGGAACTAGTCTCTTCCACCTATCTACCTACCCACCTACCTAACTACCTACCTACCTGATCGACCCTTTACAGTGAACTTCCAATCCATCTCCACTTCCTTCTGCATACTTGTTGAGCGATACGTTCTTGGTTGGTTCATTGCCAGTCAACCGAACTTCATTGTTGCCAATTCTTTCTGGCCATCTGAGCTTCAGTATCGAGCCAGCGTAAGCAGTTGCTGATGAACATCTGTAATTTGTTGCAAGTGCTTTTCGTGACATGCCAAGTTTCTCAACCATATAGAAGCACTGACTTGACTAGATTGGTGTTGAAAATCTGGATGTTGTTCCACATGTTGAGTGCAGTAGATCTCCACACTGATTTCAGATTAATGGAAGGTTGTCGTGCTTTTCCAATCCTGGCTTCAACGTCCTCGTCTTTGCCACCTGTAGTTGAAATAGTGCTGCCTAGACAGGTAGGTGAAACAGACTACTTCCTTTAAGTTTCTCCCACTGATGGTGATTGGAGCTTGTTGTTGGTGGTGGTGATGTTGGCTGGGTATCTTCATCACCTCTGTCTCGGTCTTCTCTATATTCACTTGAACTCCCGTCTCCCTTCGCTGCCCTGCCCTACCCTGTCTCTTCTGTCAACTTGTTGGATTTTACCTGTAGATCTTCGAGGTTGTGTGACATTAGACACAAGTCATCACTGGCAAAATCCAAATCTCCTAGGATCTTTTCACCGGTGAAATAGATAGAAAGAAACTGTGAGAGTTCACTTACTGCCCTGTCCAGGTCGACTTTCTGTAAATTGAACGTATCAATGAGGCGTTTTCTCTTCGACTCAGAAGTATGTCTGAGAATAGCAGATTATCATTATTCTATTTCTCACATGTCAGGTTGATGTGAGTTTGGAGAACTTTATTATCTTACCCAGCTTAGCATCAACTATGTCACTCTTCATCTTTCTTAACTTTAATACCCTATATTATTATGTAACTTGTTGGATTTGTGCTCCTACACTTCAATGTGTGACAAGTAAGTGTATAGGGGGTCAGATTTGTCAAAAAAATGTGTAAAGTTAAGTAAATTGACAATAGATACTCTAGAAAACAATAAAAATCAATAGTATTCATCATGGACCGACATTAGTTGGAGA